AAAACGTAATAATCACTTTAATCTAGCTTGCTCTCACTGTTGTAAACGAAGCAGTTCCGGGGGAATGACGTATGAGTTTGACTTTGCGCATGCGCCGCTCAGAAGTGACGCACGTGGAAACGCAGCGGAAAGATCAAAACAAAACAACGGTCACTAATTAGAAGTACAAAACGAGGATTTGTAAAGAAGAATGTCAGAGGATTTCGATATAAGCCAAGAGGAGACTGGTTTTCCTTTGCTAAAGTAAGGAAACTTTGCTTCCTTTGATCCTGTAAGCAAACGTTGGTTTTCACGAGACTCACCAGCGCATGTGCAACGCCGACCTCATACGTCATCCGCCCGGAACTGCTTCTGTGTACAACTGTTGGCGCAAGCTACATTAAAGTGATTATTATGTTTTGAATATGGATATTTTTCTTACAAAAACGCATCGATTCGCTACAGAAGGCCTTTGTTCACCCCCCGGAGCCGTGTGAGACACTTTTTTTTTATGGATGGGTGATTTTTATTTAACTACTTTTGGACTGAAGCATGCAACACCCACTGAGTGCCAATGAAACAGCTTGAAAGATCAAAGACAATTTTTAATATAACTCCCGACTGGATTCGTCTGAAAGAAGAAAGTCATATACACCTAGGATGCCTCTGAGGTGAGTAAAACGCAGCCTAATTTTCGTTTTTGGGTGAACTAACCCTTTAACCAAGCTAGTCTGAAAACAGAAATGTGAAACTGGTATTTTTTAGCTGGGGTGGGACTGTTTTTTTAGCCAAATGAACTTTTGATTATGTGATTACACATTTTCAACATACAGCACGAGGGTTAAAACTATGTATTTTAATGTCTGTATACACAGTCTGTATACAGTCTGTACAATCTGTATATTTTTGAGTTACTATAACCACCATTTATTTCCCTTTGATTTTAATAACTGAGGAATGAATTGAAATTCTGTCACAAATGCTGTTGACAGAGTTTAGCTTGTGTAAACGCCAAAACATTTCTTGAATAAATCCTGCGTATTCTTTATTTAATTTAGTGCAGCTCAGATGGACTCTTGCAGTATTTAATGACATGTGCGGCTGTAACTGAAATCATGTAACTAATTTCTGCATATCCCCTCCCTTTCTTTCTGTTTCTTCTTTTGTTTCAGGTGGATGCACGTAGCATACCAATTCTAGCAAAATGGCAAAACTCATATAGCATTAAAGTCGTTCTTCAAGAGCTAAGGCGTCTTATGATGTCCAAAGAGAATATGAAGCTTCCTCAACCACCGGAAGGACAGACATACAGCAATTAATTGTAAATGATTGTTATGACCCTCTGTCTTAAACCTTACTCTCTTAGAAATGTCTTGTAAATCATCAGAAAAAGAAAAACCAAACAAATATTGCTCACTCCACACTCAAACAGTCTCCTCTGCGGGAGCACGATTGGACATTTCTAATAGTTTAGCTTGAGAAACAAAGGAAGGAAAACACCTATATTGTGTGGCACCATGTTCAATTCTGTTTTAAAGTTACGAGTGCACAAATCTCTCTCTTCCAGTAACATTTGCATTGACCACGAGCTTTATGATGATGAACTGAATCCAGTCAGCATAGACGCAGAAAGAAGGCGTGCTAGGTGAGGTTTATACAGATCTGTTCATTTTAAGTTAAAGTAACGGGACACCAAAACTAAAAAAGGATGCATATACAACGGCATGCTTATTAAAAAAAAGAGAAAAAAGAAAAAAGAAATGTAAAAAGCAGCTGAGTAAATTGTAAGTTAACTGAACTTTTTTTTTGTGTGTATCTGAACTCCTCACTGACAATAACGTTAAGGGTCCTAAAAGTGTGCCTGTAGTCTACTAGTAGTATCGCAAAAGGGGTGGGAGCGGTTCTGAACTTTCTCTTCTGTTTCGTTTTTATTTTTAATGTCTGTATTTGACACGATCGCAGTGTGTTTCAGCGCGTTGTAAACGGATGCTCTGTTCTGTTCTGAAATCAAACCGTGCGCAAGGATCTGTCAGGGGTGCATTAAAATATGACTCGCCAACCTGCTGTCAGACTCTGTATACGAGTCCATCACACGCCGCAGAAATACGCTGAGATGTTACTGTACGAATAAAACAGCAAACCCTTGCCATTCAGGGACAGGATTCAGAGAGCGTCCGACTCGCTGTTTTGCATCGTTTGAATGACACAGCCTTATTTTTACAGTGATAGATTAATTTTTTTACATCAATCCTACCAGTAAAAGCTCACATTGATCTCATATCACTGCGATGTAACTGAACATAAGTGTGTGTTGTGATCCGTAACATTTAAATAGCTCATTACATAAGTTTATCTGATGCGTTTGAACATTTTCCACACTGTTGTACTGTGAAAATCGCTTGAAAGTGAGTTTGAGGTAGGGTGTTTTCAGTAGGAATCACCGATTGTGTCAATGGTAAGGATTTGCTGTACACTTGCTCTTGCTTAACCACAGTGCTTTATGCGACGGCATGCTGTTATGTAGCTTTCATTACGCCACCGACTAGTACTTCAGTAATTATAACATTAGAACCACTGTTATTATCCTTAGGTACTCTAACGAAGTTAATCATTGAATTAAATTGTAATTCCAGTGAATGGTGGGGGTTTGTTGTGCTGTTCTTCATTTATGCTTCGGTTGGCTTTGACCTTTTTATTGAAGTCTTCATTAGCGAAAACTAATAGGCAGTTATTGTGCAAATTAATATATGTAGTGGCAGTTTTCTCACGGTCTTGACATTTTCAGAGCCACAGATGAATCACCCTGTAATGCATCTAAGAAACTTTTTTTTTTCTCCTCCCTGTTCATTTTTTTTCTTTCTTTTTTTAAAGACATAATCAAGTTAAGTTGAAGTTGTGACACCGGGGCTATGTTCAGAATAATAAAACAAACATTGTGGAACACACTTGGTTCTTACTCTGGTTATTTTTTACAGGGCTGCTTGGAGTATTTATGGAATTAATATTAAAAAAAGGAGAGTCAACTACACCAGATTTAGCTTGTTGCAGCAGTGCCCTCAGAAGTATGCCTTTATACCTTATCTAACCATATTAGTATGTACTTTTAAGGCACTAATATTGAATATTAGTATAAAGTACTTTATCTAATTGTATATTAGTACTGTATATTAGATGAAGTACACAGGTGTATCTTTCAGGGTAACACAGCAGGGACAAGTTGTTGGTGGATTTTTTGCACATCTCTTGCAGTGTTTTTGTGTGTGTGTGGTTTTTAGTTGGCTAGTTAAATGTACATCTAACTACATTTGGGGCCTGTTTGTGGTCGACTGATTATGTGAAATTAAAATATCTTGTTTTAAGTCAACAAAATGAACCCGTTTTATTTCTTAAAGGGATAGTTAACCCAAAAATAAATGTTTACTCATTTACCCTCATGTCATTCCAAACCCATAAGACTTTGGTTAACCCTAAATTAAAAAGCCTAAATTAAATCTGTTCATCATACAAAGTGATCTCTACACATCTCTTTATGACTTTTTTTTGCATCTTTTAAGTTTTGGACTTAAACTGGAGGGACAGAAACCTCTCAGGTTTCATTAAAAAATATCTTAACTTGTGTTTTGAAGAGTATATAAAGTCTTACGGGTTTGAACAATGAGGGTGAGTAAATGATTACAGAATTTGTATTTTTTTTTGGTGGACTAAAAAATATTTTCTGTTTTTTTTTTTTTTGTGATCAATTCATGAGTGCATTTTGATTTCTTTTTTTTGTTTGTTTTTTAATTTACATTTAGTAATTTTGCAGACGCTTTTGTCCAAAGCGACTTACAATTGGGGAATACATAAAGCGATTCTTATTAAAGAGGTGCTTAAAGAAGTGCTCGTAATACCAAGTTTCAGGCATTTGTTCAAATAAGTACAAGCTAGAAAGGGAAGGAATAAATAAAGAGAAAGACAAAGTTTATTTTTATTTTTATTTAGGATGAAGTCAAGTAGCGTGGAACGAGATGAGTTTGCAGCCGTCGCTTGAAAATTGTCAGGGATTCAGCATTCCGGATAGGGGCGGGAAGATCATTCCAACCAGCCAGGAATGGTGAACGAGAATGTTCTGGAAAGTGATTTTGTTTCACTGGGAAATGCATCACGTTACTCAAGTCCTGTTGTCTCATCCTCGTGGTTTTAGGCCTTTGGTCCATCATTGGACATGACAGAAGAGACCTGTCTGTCAGTGGAAACATTGTCTCATCCGTTTTATATTCCCTGTCTATTAGACATTGATTTTGTTTCCACTAAGGGGATTTGTAGAGCCAAGATGCTCTGTTCTACAGATTTAGCTGGAAATGGTAGAACCTAAGATATTTCAAATACATTTCACATAAATTCTTGTGTATTGAAAAGCTCAGCCACATCATAGATTGCATTTCTTTTTTTTTTAATAAAATCACAAGCCTGACAACATGCCACCATAGTATTTGGACACTTAAACCACATTAAAAATGAATTGGATACATTCCAACTGGTTCACTGAAAACGTAATGAAAAGGAAGTTCAAAAACTTCAAAATGAAAGTGTTTGAAATGAACACCTTTAATTAATTTAGACACTTTCTGGCTGTCAAAAGTGACTTCTAGAATGCAACCACTAAAGATGACCTTGAGACTAATTGCAAAAGTAAAATGCCTCAAAAAGGGGAAGTTCTGAGAAAAGCTTCTACAGCATTTGAGCACAGATGTCACTTGTTTTAATGTTTTCTATATTGCAATGGACACCAACCATGGAACACCACAACAATAAAAAAAAAAATCACAAACAAGTACCCTATGTGAGAAAAGTTTTAATCAGATGTGACAACTTGAACTAGCATTTTGGAGAAAAAGAAAATGTTTTCATGGTCAAAATGACTGCAAAACAACATGCTGTTTAAATGTGACTTTAAAGGGATAGTTCACCCAAAACTGAACATTCTGTCATCTTTTGCTCTCCCTTAAGTTGTTCCAAACCTGTTTCTTTCTCATACAAGTTTGGAACAACTTTGCAGAAAAGGACATATTTTGAAGAATGTTAGTAATCAAACAGTTGACGGTACCCATTGACTTCCTTAATATGGAAAACAATACTATGAAAGCCAATGGCTGCTGTCAACTGTTTGGTTACCAACATTCTTCAAAATATCTTCTTTTGTGCTGTGTGCCGCTGGTTGATGATGAATGTTTAATGAATGCTATTATAGATGTTTCAGCCCTAAAAATAACATCTAGAGAGAGTGTAATGCAATGCCTGAGCGTTATGCTTAAATTCTCTTTCAGATGTGAATGATGTGTTTTGGGAAAGCTGCTGGTGCATTTTAATCACACGTTTTATTGATCTGCCTTTCAAGATCAACGAAACACGTTTGTGTTCTTTGATCTATTCCTGCATAGACCAAGGTTGAGAAAAACTGTCACATCATAACCTTGCTCAGTGCAATACCCTGCAGGAATTACAATGATCAAACCTGAGCTTTGACTTTTTAGGTATGTCACAAGGAGGCGCTATATGCACAGCCATGAGGTTCATTCAAGGAGCTTCTGTGCATGCAGTCTTCTTGTGATCACTAGAACGCACTGCCATGACTTTGCATCTGTGGCCCAGTGCTGCAGCAATGCATTATTTTTATGTTTCCAAAAAAGACATGCTTTATTGACCTTGCCAAAGGGAAAGCCGACGACAGAGCGGGAACCAGAGCAGTCGCTCTTGGCCATGTTATGGTGTCTTTGTGTCTCAGGCTGTGTATAATTGGAGCATTATCCTCGACACTTGTAAGCGGTTTGTCTCTGTCCAAGGGGACCTTTCATCCTGAATGAACCGCTACTGAGAGAGGAAAAGTCCCTTATTAAAGAATGAACCTTATGTCTGTCAGATGTTAACTGAATTGCTCTGTCATTAAGCTTGCATGGCAAGTGTGACCAAGAAGTCATGTGCCTGAATATTTCATTTTTTTTTATTGGTGCAAGCAGTCTTGAAAACTAGTGTGACAGAATTGCTTTTAAATGTAAAAAAGGTAATATTTTGGAATATTTTCGGTGGTATTTACACTATACTTTAAAGATCACCATGGTCCATGTCTAAAAACATGATAATATCATGGTACGTTTTTGTAATTTAGTGCATGGTATACAATACATAATGCATTATTGTTGCATTATATTATTGCATTTCAACAGATTGTTAGTTAAAGCCCATTCAAATGGTTAGAAATGTAAAGAAACTTCGGGTCAAACTTTTTTTTAAACCACTGCAGTGAAATCATTATTTAATTTATTATTCGGATTTTTATTACATTTGATTGACATCTTTTCTGTGTTAAAATTAAATCCTAAAATGTAGCTTTTCATTGTGGTCTCAGACTTTTGGACACCACTTTATATATTCATCTCTGAATATGCATGAACTACATATCTTCTTAGCATTATATAATGGTGTAATAGCTGAATGAAAATTGTTATAAAGCATTGTTCAGTGCCAAACCGACAGCAAGAGGACTTGTACAGTATCAAAAGTTTGCTCAGACTTGCTAATATGCATGACTGCTCTTTTGTGAGTGTGAGAACCTCTGGCAGATTGAAATCGTGTGGTTTTTCTCATCTCCCCCTGTCGCCTGTTCTCACTCCTGACTGATGAGATGCAGTTGTAAATATCTGCTGGAGACAGTCTGATGTGTGTTTACTCAATGCTCTGCCGAGCTGCAAAGTAAACCATGAGATCAAGACTGTGACGTCACAATGTAATCAATATGATGCTGCAGGCGTGATGCTTATATAAGAACAATAAAGCAGTGCAGTCTAGAGCTGGTAGCATTGTTCAAATTGATGGATTAAAAAATATTAAATGTGTTTGTATAGTTTGGGACAGAACAATGCTTATAATAACTTTCAGTAAGTCAGAAAACAAACACATTTTGTTATGTGTAAAATATTTAATTAATTTTTAAGCATATCATAACTTATCACAACATTTAAAGATTTTTGTGAATTTGCTTCGAAACAATATATTGTGAAAAGTAATTAATTAAGTAACTTTTATTATGTCTATTAAGTAATGTGCAAAATATTTTAGATACACCGCGTGCATAATTATAAGGCACGTTTATAATCTGATTAGATATTTTTTCCAAGCGCATTTTTACCAATTCCAAACCGCATTGATCTTAATAACTACTATTAATTTTGTATTTAATCATTAATAAGTGATAAGAGAAATATTCAAAACTAATGCAATACAGAAATTGCAAAGTTAAGACATGACCACTGGACAGCAAAATGCTCACTGGGTCAGCGAGGTCAGAAAAAACAGGTGGAGCATTTTTGAGCATTTTGCTGTCCAGTGGTCATGTCTTAACTTTGTAATTTTTGTATTGCATTAGTTTTGAATATTTCTCATGGAGATTGAATAATTTTTGACATCTCAGTCTGAGTTAAACCTCTTTTTTGGCTCATTTTATCAGTAAAAGAAAACCTGCCTAATAATTCTGCAAACCTGAATATAAGGAGTTTTTCACTTCCAGCCTTCATGGACAATTATATATCACTTATAAATGATCAAATACAAAATTATGTAATATATGTGTGAACTTTATTATGTATATATAAATACACACACATACAGGATATATTTAGAAAATATTAACATGAATTTACATGTATATATTTATAATTGTATAATTTATATATAAATATATTTAATACAGAAATATAACATATTTTTCTTAAATATATACATGCATGTGTGTGTATTTATATATGTATAATGTGCTTGGGGGAAAAAATCAGAATATCAACCTGCCTAATAATTATACACGCGGTGTAGATAGATAGATAGTGTGTGTGTGTGTGTGTGTGTGTGTGTGTG